GGAAAAAAAAAATAGTAGATAATCCAGTAATTCCACTACTGGGTATTTATCCAAAGAAAATGAAAACGATAATTTTAAAAGATGCGTGTACCTGTGTGTTCATTGCAGCATTATTTACAACAGTCAAGATATGGATAGATGAATGGATAAAGAGGTGACACAGACACGCACGAATATTACTCAGCCATAAAAAAGAAGATCTTGCCATTTGCAACAACATAGATGGACCTAGAGAGTACGAAGCTAAATGAAATAGGTCAGAGAAAGACAAAAACCACGTGAAGTCACTCATGTGAAATCTAAAGACTAAAACAAGCGAACAAAGAAACAGACTCATAAACACAGAGAACAAACCGGTGGCTGCCAGAGGGGTGGGGGTGGGGGTGGGGGTGGGGGTTCGGGCAAAACTGGGGAAAGGATGTGGGAGACACAGGTTTCCAGGTATGGAATGAGTACAGGGACAAAAGGCACAGCATAGGGAATATAGTCAAAGGTATTGTAATAGCATTGTATGGTGACAGGGTAAAGTTGTGGGTCAATTATACTCAAAAAAAAAAAAAAAAAAAAAAGAAACCGAAACGTGCTTCAACCTAAAGGGGAACTGAGCAACAACTTGTGGTTTCTCTAGGTGATGAATGACTATCTGGTAATAAGAAAGACCAAACTACGGGTGCTCGTGATCATGTGGGTGAATCTCCAATGCGTTATGCAACATGAAAGAAGTTAGGTTTAAAAGGCAACATGCTGAAAGGTTACCTTTAAAAGAAAGTGTGGAGGGGCGCCTGGGTGGCTCAGTCAGTTAAGCATCCGACTCTTGATCTCCGCTCAGGTCATGATCTCGCCGTTCGTGGCTTCGAGCCCCACATCAGGCTCCGTGCTGACAACACCAAGGCAGCTTGAGACTCCGTCTGTCCCTCTCTCTCTGACCCTCCTGTGCATGTATGTGCTCGCTCGCTCTCTCTCTCAAAATGAATGTAAGTGCACTTTAAAAAAAAGGCCGGAAAAGGCAAAACTGTTGGGAATGAAAACAAATCTGTGGTTGCCTAGGGCTGGGGGAACTTTCTGGGGTGACAGAGGTATTCCCTATCTTGACTGCGGTGGTGAGAACAAGATTGTATGTAGCAGTTAAACTTCAAAAGGGGAGAAACTTACAGCGTGTAAATTATACCTCACTAAATCTGACTTTTAATCCATCATAGGAACCTGGAATTCCTGTCAACTTGGCAGGTGGACACAGAGCCAGATTTTCAGATTTCACGCCACTTTGGCTTTGGATTGGCTTTCCTCCCGTACCGGAGCTCTAGCACCCCAGATACAAGTGAAGGCACTTTGTTGCCCTCCCCAGTCCCTTCCCCCTCCTCCCTGCCTCCCCAGAGACCACCACTGCTAGGACATTCTCTGCAGGGTTGGAGATCTACAAATGTCCAGAAATAGTATCGCGCTGTATATTTGAGATCTACAGATGTTCAGAAACACTGTTCTCAAGTTTGCTTTGGGGATCAGCATGTTTGGATAGCTGTCCATGTTAATTTATCTAGCCTGAATTTATTCATTTTAACTGCACGCTACTTCATTACACGCATATGCCACATTTTATTAATCTATTCTTCTGCTGATGAACGCGTGGCTATTTCGAGTGTACTGCTATGCCAAGCAATGCTGCAAAAATCAGCCTCTCACCCGTATGTGGGTTTCTAGGATACAAACCTGGGAGGGAGATAATGCAGCCACAGGGTGCCCACATTTGCCTAGTTGACTGGATATGGCTGACTTTTCCTCCAGTGGTTATGGAGAGTCTCCTGATTATCTTCTGGACGGTTATGGCATTCCCTCTCACAGTAGTCTTTAATCTACTGGAAATCACGGTTTTGCTAATGATGGAGGTGGGGACCCAAATCACTGGTTTTTTTCCTTATTTTCTTATTTATTTTGAGAGATGGAGAGGCACAGCCTTGGGTGGGGGCATGCAGAGAGAGAGGGAAAGAGAGAATCCAAAGCAGGTTCAGGATGGTCAGTATGGAGCCCGACACAGGGCTCGAACTCATGAACTGCGAGATCACGGCCTGAGCAGAAATCAAGAGTCCAGCACCCCTCAAATCACTGTTTATGTGGAAAACCAGTAGCCCTTGCACCATGTGACCCAGGTCAGCTTCCCATTATACCTGGCCCTGCTGCTGGGCCTGATGGCGTTGAAGTTTTAAATAATAGCTCTACTAAAACATGATTCGGGGCGCCTGGGTGGCTCAGTCAGTTAAGTGTCTGACTCTCGACCTTGGCTCGGGTCATGATCTCACAGTCGAGATCGAGCCCCATTGTCAGGCTCTGTGCTATACGTGACGCCTGCTTAAGATTCTCACTCTCTGCCCCTCCCCTGCTCGTGCTCTCTCTCTCGAAAAAAAATGATCCACACGTTATATAACGCGCTGTTTTAAAACATACAATTGGGAGCGCCTGGCTGGCTCAGTCAGTGGAACAGAGGACTCTTGATCTCAGGGTCGTGAGATCCATGTCGGGTATGGTGCCTACTTAAAAAAAATAAAGTACAAAAAATGGTTTTTAGTATATTCAGAGCTGGGCAACCATCACGGTCAATTTTAGAACATTTTCGTCACCTGGGAAAGAAATGCAGTACCTGTTAGCAGTCACTCCCCATTTCCCCCCAACCTCCTTCCAGCCCTGCCAACTACCAATCTGTTCGCGGTTTCTGTGGATTTGCCTATATATATACACACATAGTTTATTTATTTTGAGACAGAGAGAGATCACAAGCAGGGGAGGGGCAGAGAGAGAATCCCAAGCAGGCTCTGCGCTGTCAGTACAGAGCCCGATGCAACTCCCGGGCTCCCAAACTGTGAGATCACGACCTGAACTGAAATACTGAAATCAAGTGTCCAACGCTTAATAGACTGAGCCACCCAGGAGCTCCCGTATTTGCCTATTTAAGGCTTTCGTATAAATGAAGTTCTACAACATGTGGCTTCTCTTGTGTTTGGCTTCTCTCCCTTAGCATAATCTTTGCATGGTCTTTTCAAGGTTTGTACAGGTTATAGCATAGCCATAGTTTTATGGCTGAAGCCCATCGCTCTGTGTAGCTATGCCACTGTTGGTCTATCCACTCATCAGCTGACGGACATTTAGGTGGTCTCCTTTTGTCCCCTGTGACTGATGCTGCTGTGAGCATTCATGTACCAGTGTTCGTGTGCACGTGTGTTTCCAGCTCTCGAGTGGACTTGCTGGATCACGTGGTGACTCCATGTTTAACTTCTGAGGAACCACAGATGGTTTCCTAGAGTGGCTGTACCACATTTTATAATAAATAAAATCCTACCTACTTACTTTAAAATCTTAGGTTTTTTTTAACTTAAGTTTACTTACTTTTTTTTTTTTTTTTTTTTT